TTAGACACGAAAATGTTATTTTGTAAACTTGTCTCATTCATATTCAACACACTAGTCACTAAAACTCCGCTATTGCAATTTTCTGATATCACCTGAGGTCCATAGATTAGTTTACGTCCGATCATGGCCACCTAGATGCAATTTTAAAAGTGACTCTGAAAAAATCAAGTAGGCTGAAAAACTTCCGGAAATGTCAGTTTCTGATCCAGAATTGTCTCAGAAATCCAAAAATGTTACAATATACAGGGTGTTCCATTTAAAAATTCAGAACCGGAGCCATTTTCACTGAAACCGGAAGTGACCGGAAAGTGAAAAATATGTGAAAACATTCCTCTCCACATACCATTCAACTATACCAAATCTCATTTCAATTCTCCTAATAGTCTAGAAATTATGACTTGTCTAATAGATTCGTTGACACCCGTATGTCTACTCTTTGGGTAGACTGCCATGACTATCCTTGTCATAAAATCCGATGGAATTATTGGAAGGTTAAAAAATGGGCCAATTTCTTGATATAATTTATGTGATATTACATAAGAATTAGATTCGACTTCTTTTATTTTAGATCGATTTGGACACAATAGATGTTAGCAATTTGAATCGACAATTTCTGTTTAGGAAAGAACATGTTGGGAAACCGAAGGCAGCGGTTGCACGTGAAAGTATATTGAGTTACAATCCTAATATCAAAATAAAAGCTTACCATGACAGTATTACAAGGTCAGATTACTGATTATTTTTTATATATTGATTGTCAAATACTCTTTTTTCAGTCAAGACTATGGTGTAAATTTTTTCAAGCGGTTCATCCTGGTATTAAATGCATTAGATAACAGAGGTGCACGCAACCACGTAAATCGAATGTGCTTGGCTGCTGATGTTCCTTTGATTGAATCTGGTACTTCTGGGTACTCAGGACAAGTGGAACTTATAAAGAAAGGTGTTACTCAATGCTATGAGTGTCAACCAAAGGCTCCCCAAAAGACGTTTCCTGGTTGCACCATAAGGAATACGCCATCTGAGCCTGTACATTGTATTGTGTGGGCGAAACATTTATTCAAGTAGGTCTATTTTATGTTGATCATTAAAATTTTTGTTTTCCCTGATTCCTTCTCCATAATGGGGGGCCTGTACTAACACCCTGTTACAGTGCAAATGACTGCTCCAGAAAGATGCATATAGATAAATTTTCAATGCAAAGTCTCCTTTTTATTCTGGTGAATCATTATTTGTATCCCTCAAAATACATATTGTAATTGTAACTTTTATTATTGAAATGGTTTATATCATCAGGTGTATCAGTATTTGTTGCACCTGACACAACTGTGGTATACTTACTCAGAATAATAAAAAAAAAAAACAAAATCTGGGCTGTGCAGCTCTGGTCGAATTAAACCTGGAGTACCTACCAAACATTTTTTCTTTAAGTCTTTGAGATATAACTTCCATTAATTAATAGATCTCTTGTAAATAGTAACAACCAGACCATTTCAGTAAGAGTAATCTGAATAGCAACCCAAATGATAACAGGGTGACTCATAAGAAAGGATGAATAATGGGTCCCTCCCTCTGCAGTGTGCTCAACAACCCGCGAAGAAACTCATCCACTCTTTCAGGAAAACGTGGGCCATCTGTCTGAAGAAGAACTATGAGAAGCCACCCGTTTCCTAGAGGAAAAAATGACTTGTTTGTGGGGTTCAAAATGATTGGTCGAACGGATTTTAGTTCAACATCGGATTGATACTGGCAATGCCAAGCCCATATGCCAACCACAGGAGGCTTAATGATGTCACCAGAAAGGACAGTTGCCCTCTCTCCAGAATAGATGACACCCTGAACATCTTGGCTGAATCTAGATGATTCTCGAAATTATATCTTATTCTAGATACTGGTAGGTGACCGTTCACCTCGAGGATAAAGAGAATAATACTGCCTTTTCCACCGGCAATGGATTATATTAGTTCAAGTTTATGCGTCACAGAAACGCAGGTAGCATCTGACATCTGGATGGAAATTTTGTCAACGCCAGGGAGACAAGGATATCCAGTTACCAGGTGAACTTTTCACCAAACGTGACAAGGTAGGCAGAGACTCCTTTATGGACAGATTTGATAAGCTCTCCAACATTCCGCCTCTTCGGGTTCCCGCAGACCCGGAGGGTAGCAATCTGCAAAAGTCGCTTTTCCAGAGATTGGGATAGAAGGTGTGAGGAATCACCTGACCATGGTACAGCATGGTCGTTAACAGCTTCCGAGGGTGACAATTGCCAGCGAGAAGTGCAGGAGTTCTGTAAGCACTGTGACCTGTGCTCTTCAAGAAATGGCTCGAAGTTAAGGCGAATAGGAAGGTTGAAGCAGTATGTGCCCTTTCGAGAGAATCACAGTTGGCATTCTGGGACCACTTCCTATGACCACATCGGGTAACAAGTATCTTATGGTTGTGATGGATTATTTCTATAAATGGCCTGAAGTTGTAGCCTTGTCCAATCATTAGGCTCAAACGGTGGAAGTTCTATTGCAGAACGTAATTGTCAGGCACGGAGTACCCCAGGAGTTACACTCGGATCAGGGTTGCAACTCTGTTTCGGATTGATAGAATAAAATAATGAATTTGTTGTTAACTTGTCGAGAACTGAAGCTTCAGATAGACGTAATGTATGTGAATGACCTGAAGGAGAGACTGGGAAATTGTTCACAAATTTGCCAGATCCAAGTTTCCCAGATCCAAATTTTCAGCGACGAGATGCAGATGAGATTTGACAAAAACTCAATTCCGGTGAGTTTTGAGCAGGACAATGTAGTACGGCTTTACTAACCCCAACTTAGGAAAGGTTTGTGTCCCAAATTGAAGTCACCATGGCAAGGACCTTGCTTGGTAATCAAGAAGATAAACAAACTGATGAACATAATACATTTGTCACCCAAAAGAAACTCTAAAGTTGTTCACATAGAGTGACTAAGTTCTTACATGGGTCGTGAAGTTGGTCTGGGTGAACAACCTCTGAAAAAAATAACGCTGGCAGCCGTTGGTCTTCGTCAATCGACTGTGACGTGGCCAAGGTCGCGCTCAATTCTACTTGTGATTCTTGATCGTTCTAGGTGTCGCGTCGCTTTGAAAATATTCCTATCAGCTTCAAAGACTTCTATTGGGATATATAAGCACTACCAACAGGCAGATGAGGCAGATTTCATAATTTTGATGAATACCAGACTTCAATGTCATATCTTGCCCAGAAAATACCTGTATTGGCCTATTACAGAAAAAGAAATAAGTACACCTCTAGAAATTCATCTTTGTTGTTGTAAAGTTTATCTAGTTTTTTCATTTCATTGTTAAACTGATTCCGATTTTCAATGTATGGACGTTAATATAAAAATAGCTCAAGAGTAAAGAAAGTTGTTAACAGTTAAAAGTTATGCCTAAATACCAAAACATGACCTCCTAAGATACTTTTTAAAGTTTCAATTTTTTTGCGTCAATTTTTACCAGTTTGTAATTTTTTTATAACCACCTTAAACACTTTCCTAAGTTAATCATAACAAAATCAGTTGAGCATAACTTTTTTCAAATTTAGCTGTATTTTTGCAAATAACTTAGATTTTATTTTTTTTTCAGGGAATCACAAACTTCATGTTTGATGCAACTATATCTTACACAACTTTAAAATTTCACAAACCATTAATAATGGTAATACATATATTCAAAAACTCTAGTTTGAAGTGAACATTTTCTATTTAAAATGTTTATGAAAAAGCTATACAAATTAATTGACAAACATGAAATCCTTTTAAAATAATTGTGCATAACAGAAACAAAACAAATGAGGGTTGAAAGTAAACATTATTATTATTATGTGTAAATACATGTACATGTAATAAATAAATATTAATAAATAAACGAAAAGGAACAATACAATGTTTGAAAGCGGTGCCGATTTTTATCGGCTTATTTTTATTGTAACTCGACCAATATCAAATGTGTGACGAAAGAATTATTGACATGTCTCTGTGTGTCCACCTTCTCGTTCAATGCATCCAATTGTCCGATCACAAAATTGACAAAGAGTGGATTGCAACACACTTGCTGAAATATTTCTGCAATGAAATCGTATAGAATTTTCAAGCTGCTATTGAATTGTCGACCCTTGTAAACCTTCTGCTTTAAATATCCCCATAAAAAATCTAATGGCGTAAGATATGGGAACGAGGGTGCCACCATTTATCATTAAATTTCCCATTCAACCATTCTGAAATAATTATAGTAGAATGAGCAGGACATCAATCATATATAAACCATAATTTATGTCGTTCTTGAAAGCAATACCACCAGTTAGATTGTGGCGAAAAAAACTCGCCTTATTAATTTGTCATTAACAGTACCGCACCATACATTTGTTTTTTGATAATATTGGCTTTTATTGTCAACGAAAAAATTTGGATTTTCGTCCGACCTCCACCTACAATTTTTGGGAAGAGGCAACGCCATTTATTGTGAACGTGAGTTCGTGTCCAAAAAGAATGTGTATAAATCATGTCGATCGTCTATTTGTTCTTGAATCCACATGCAGAAGTAATATCATAAGTCATAGTCTCATTCTCAAAACGTGCTTGTAGGCATGGACTTATAGGCATGATATTAATTTTTTAAGAATCTTCTTTACAGAGCTTTGTTTTACACCCGTATAACTAAAAAGTTCTTGTGTGGATCTTCTAGGGTTTTCAACAATTTCCTGAAGTACTTCTAATTGATTTTCTCAGTATGTACATACAGTTTTGGTATGTTCATTTTTATATTTATAGTCTCTAAACACCCAGTTTGTTTGAAATTACTCAAATTTCTGCTTACAGTGGAATAGTGCACTTGTTTGTCTGGATGACGTTCATTGAATATATCTGCTGATCCACGCACTGGTTTATCGTTATCTTCACATATCAAAACTAATTCTGCCTTCTTGGCTAACGTTAACTTTCTTGGAGGAGGAATTTGAAATCAAATAAACTCAATAAACGAACAATAATTATTCCAGAATGAGAAGTTAGATCACCAAACTGTCATGTTTTCTTTCAACCCTCATTTGTTTTATGCAGTGGATACCTGCAATAGTTTTAATAGGATTTCACGTTTATCGAATAATTTGTACAGCTTTTTCATAAACATTTCAAATACAAAATGTTCACATTAAATGAAAGTTTTTGAGTATGCAAATTATTGTTACCTTTCCTTGTTACTAATATGGTTTGCGAAATTTCAAAGTTAAGCTGAATATCGTTACTATAAACATGAAGTTTGTGATTCTCTAAAAAATTAAAAATCAAAGTTGATTTGTAAACAACGTTTCTCTATAACATTTACTTGTGATGCACTGTTTGGAACCTTTGGTGTAGTAATGAATATTACTGGACTTTTTTTTTCCAACACCAAACCGTTATTTTAACACCTCGACACGTGTTTCGATCACCATCGATCTTCTTCTTGATGATTACTTGGTGACCGAAACACGTGTCAAGGTGTTAAAATAACATTTTGGTGTTGTAAAAAAACTCCACTAATATTCTATAATATTTTGCTGAATTTACTGAAATAAGGGTACTTTACTCCTGTAAAATCTTTATATTTTTTTACCTACCCCTGGTTGACTCGCAAACATTTTAAGTATACCTAATATAATAATTATCAAATATGCACCAACTTATGGTAATATTTGTATTTTGGTTGTGCAGTCAACTGAATATATATATAGGTCATCCTGTTGTCTGTCTCTTTATACAGTCAGAGCGTCTTAACTCAGGTATTTCAGGTACTTTAGGTAAATTTGCCTGTGTTTGTTCTGTTTGTTCTGCATAAGGTACTCTGTTTTGTGTTAGATCTTCTCTAGGAATGTGTATGGTTTTGTTTAATATATTGTTATCTTTATCTGTGCGTTGAGTTTTGGTGCTTTTGGGTTGTTGACTGTGTATCTGTTCAATGCTTTGTTGTTAAAGATCTGTTTGTTGGATTTTATTGGGCTATTAATTTGTCTTTCATATTTTGTGGTTGGATCGTGATTCATCGTGCTAAAATCGTTTTCCGTTTTATATTTGTTCACTTTC